TTTTATTCATACATCTTGCGGAATACCATTCATTAACAATCGTCAAACAAATAAGAAATTTTTAAAACATTCTATTATGTTATAAAATAGTTCAATATTGTTAGTTGAAATTACATTTTCCATGATTGTTTAAAGTTAGAAATGTTACTTTATTTTACAGTCGTATACAGTAAGATCAAAAATATTTGAGTTAGAAACAAGAAATAATCTTATTCACAATTATTTTCACCAATTTCATTAGAGTTAAAATAGTTTTAAGATAATTTTTCAACTATCAACAGATTAAATTGACGATGATCATAACTTTTTATTAAAAAGAGAAAGACAAATATAGATTTATGAACTAAGGTAGAATGAATTTTAATCGATCATTGTGCTAATTATAATGATTGTCAGTATATATCCATGCTACTGTTATAAATATAACAGTATCATTTTTAATGGTTACGTTTGTTTAAAATTATAGACAGTCTTTAAAGTAGAGTAACTGATTTTGCTGCGAACTAATGAACAATACGATTAGTTTTGAAATTATTCTAAGTCATAACAAACTATATGAAGCACGGTGAAAAGTTTATATATATATATATATATATGCTCTTAACACAATAACTGAACCGCTGTTGATAACGATGACAGTAATAAATTACATGATCCCAAAATGAAATTGAATGGATGGGTTCTAGGATTTTTGGTAAGATAATTTAAGGCCAATTAATTGGCATTTAAACGCCCAAGATTTCATTTTACTTACGTTAGGTTGTGGTAGTGGGATGATCAAATCTAGTCATCCATGAGTTATTTTATCGATTTGGTCTTGGCCGATTTCAGCGGTCACTATCAACTTCAGATCAAGTTATTAGTGAATTCAGTAACTTTATTTATTGAGGTGTTTGCGAAAAGATTCGGTGATTTAGGTGGTTTTCATAAGCTGAATAACAAACTATGAAAATCCATCTACAAAATAGCTAAGTAAACACATGTTGTAAACAAGTAGTATAGACTAAGAAAAATTTTCGCACATGTGTTTTTATACAACGTCGAAAACTCCAAATTAAGAAGTTAATAATAGTCAAAATTATGCAAATAAAAGTTATTTTTAAAAAGTGTTCAATCATATAAACTTGACTGAGAAAAACAAACAATTCACATTCTAAGCGACTAAATACACTGGTGTAATTAGCAATCGATCTCCATCATCATTATCAGTTTAGGGGATAATAAAATTAAGTGTAATTCACAGTTGTGTTACATGTAAAATCTTTTGCATTTTAACTCTGATCATCTTTCTAGTACTGATAGATTAATCGATCTATGAACAGCTAAAATTTTACTCGCTCTGTTATCACCGAACATTTTACAACCAGAAAGACATATGCTTAGTTATGAAGATTAAAATAACAACGATGATTCGGTTTTTATTAACCTGTCTAGCTTCAACCATTATTATTTTTTTTAAAACACTCAAGCATAGAAGAAGCGTATGATGTATCGAATAATAAAACATAGTAGTTATAGTATTAAATATTAAACAAACCTTAGAAAAGACTAAAAATCAACTACGTGAAACATGTTAGATAGATAGATATTGGCACATCCAACTTGGAAACCCGTTGAATATATCATAAGAGTCCTGAATAGTTTGAGGAATCAACATTGAAGGTAAACAAAAGAGAAAGCTTTCACGGTCAGCCAACAATGAATAAAATTATTATTATTGTACGATTTTAAACAAGTTGAACGATCAGTACAATATGATATACAATGCTTAAATGTTCAGCGTCAGTATTCTATCAAGGGACTTATACGAGCCAGAAGAGGAAGATGATAACTTTAACAATAATAATCATGAAGAAGAAACAACAAGAGTTTGTAAATAATAATATGTATACATGATAGGTGAACGCAGTCGATGAATGATTAGGGTGTATTCTTTGGACAAAACTAATCACCTCAAATCTATACCATCAAATACTAATGTGTTGTGCGGTATTTCATTTTTGCTTTTAACTTTATGCACATAAGCCTCTGATGATAGTTTCCAGAATCCAAACTAAGATGTTTTGATCCTTCATTTACAGTTCGACTTAAAATCCTACAGCTTTGTATGTTATACTATCGTCCATACATTTTCACCGGACAGTAGAAAATTCGTGAGAATTCACAATAGTTCTAATCAGGTAAATGTAATCACCATGGTTTGACTTGATAATTTCGAATAGATAAACATTGGGTGGTTTGTTTATAACGATATAATGATAGTTCATATGTAATATCCAAATGAATGGAAAACTGAATTTTTGACATTTCGCGACTTAGTTTAAGTCGCTTCCTCGGTCTTGAACAAGTCCTAATCGATGTTAATAGACTCCCAAACTGCAAAGACACTTTTAACAGTTGTTTGACTGATATGTAAAAGTGATGAAAATCAGTTTCACATTGAGTGACATGAATAATAAGAATATCATAGTGAGGTAGATGGATAAGGAGACAGGGAACCATAACGCTAGAGAAAATCTTGAACTAAGATTAATCTTGTTTTTGAACCGCTTGTAAATTTTTAGGAATTCTTAAGAGACGACTATGTAAAACTAGACAAAAATGAGTTAGCAAAATGTAATGAATTGCCAACAGAAATAACAAATAGCTTTATAATCAGTTTCGTCTTCTATCACTACGAACTATTATATTAAGGACAATTAGTGCCTAAGATTGAAGGGAAGTTATGTGTAACTACTGTGATTGCGAATACTTGTGTCGATTTTTGGCTATTTATATGATTTCGGAAATGATTTTCAGACTTCCGATTAAGATCGGAAAAATCATTGATAAGTATGGATCACTGAATAATTACTTTGTTCTACCTCAAAACTCCTTAGTCGATTTGACAACAGACCTCATACAGGACCAGACTTATAGTATTTAAGTTTCCAGATGTGTTTGATAACATTTAACCAACTTCACAATGAATTTTCCGAACTTCAAAAATGAGATTATAACTTGCGGAAAACATAAGGTGAGGACTGTACATCATTGGGTTTCAAATCAATGACTTGAAGATATTGCTCTCCTCAGAAACGACCTAGACATTCTAGGTCGTTCTCAATATAGTCACGGGTATGGAATTGTTTGACCTCCAGAACTAAGACCTATTGTACAATAGTTTTTGGTTGGTGATAATTTATTCACATCGAAAGATCTTACGGCATAATTATTGCTATTATCATATCACTTTACTGTAATCGATAGAGTTACAATAGAAGTGAAGTTTTTTGTCTAGCTATACAGACTTTTTATTCTCTTATATCATTACTTGAGAAAAATTATTTTTTTAAAACAAAGGTAAATAAATCAATCCAGTTATTTTTAAGCGGATTATCGAAGGATATAAAATGTTCTATTGATATCATTTTTATAAAGCCAATATGTATGTGGTGGGTAGGCATCAATAATACGATGAATACTAGTGTTGCTTACTTTAAAAGCACTTGTTGTAAAGCATTAGTCAAATTACGTCACTACATCACCATAAACAAAAGACTATAATCAAAACATCCCTAATACAAATAACAGTCTGTTGTATAGCATACAAAATTTATACTTCTGAAAATATAAGGTAACAAAAAACGTCTATTAATTCATATCACTCAAAGCATAAATATCATCATTATGTGAAAATGTGTATTAAGGCAGCAACTTTTGCTGATGGAAGTATAGTGGTGGAATGTTTGATGAACGATTACTCGAACACACTCAAATATATTGCAACTAATTATTCAATTCAATTTTAATACAAACCTAAACATAAATCGATTGGAAGCAGTTCAATGTGCAAAGAAATAAAGATCGCTAGCATATTAATAGTTTTAAACCTCATTTATTGAACTCACTCTGATCAAAACTAACATATGTAAAAGAGGAAGGATTTTGCCAAAGTTTTAACGTGGCACTCACTACAAAATGATATCAACTTATGGACAATTGACCAGCTGAAATTATTCTATAGTTGTTTTCAGAATTATGAAGTGTTTATGAGAGTTGAACAGTTATTAGTCAAATCAAGGTAAATAAGGATTATGAAATATAGAACAGTTTCAAATTGTCACTTTTGAACACGTAAAATTAACTACACGTCTTACGTACTTTGAATAGGAGTTTCATCACAGTTGATCATTGAGAACTAGGAATCATTGGTCAGCTGCTTTGTTCAATTTTGGGGATTCATATTTGTGCCCACTCGAACCCGAAACCTTTAAGATACTTTATAGGCATGATGACATCCAGGGAAAGACAAATCAGTGTAAATTGTAGATTATGTTTTTTTAGACCATTGGAAACCATCAAAAACGAAGAGAGCTATTCAAAACATCTAAGTTTCGTGAAGGAACTTAAAAACACTATTTGTTATATAGTATCTATAAAAGCGTAATGCTTGCAATTAACGATTTCTTTCTGCCTAGGTCAATCACCAACCGATCAGGTCAATAGTAGAAAAAGAATTACAAATTTAGTAAACTCAATTTTGTGTAATTCGTTCGTCATATTAGCCTAGGTTCTTCATAGAGTACGTAAACACTTGAAGGTCTGTTCAACAAGATGTTTTGAAATGATAATTATTATGAAATCATAATAGTCAAATTTCTGGATGAAAGGCGAACAGTCTAAGATTTGCTCATTCATAAACAGGAATTATGAGATTTAACTAAGTTGATCTAACCATCACATACATAGAAATCCATGAACTGTATTATGAGTTATTATCTCTGATATTATTGTCACACAACTCCTAGTTCGACTAAAAGACGAGTATTATCTCAGATACACTTATTATGATATCGCCCAAAATGGTCAATATAAATTTAAATTGAAGCCTGCTATTACATGACTGATAATTAATCACATTCATTTTTAGGTCAAATCTTTACGATTAATTGTAATTAAATAGTTCCATTTTTTTTAAATAAAGAGATAAATGAATTGAACACTGTCATAAAACTTACAGATTTTTTCGATGAACTATTTTGTTTCTTGTATTCCTCGTCATTAAAATTAACTGGATGATACACAAACAGCTTATCATTAATCTGTTTATTTTCAAGTCCTACATGTTTATTTAAATCGTTTAAAGTTTGACAGTGATAAGCTGCGATTTGTTTAAAATTTAAGTTTTCTGCAGTTTCTTCTTCTGGTGATTGAACTGAATTGTTGGAGACTGATGTACAAGTCGAATATGTAAGTGGTGAAGATAAAGGTGACAATAATGACGATGATGATGATGATGAAGAGGAAGAGGAGGACAAGTAGTTAGTGGAACAGAATAGAGGTAATGAACATGAGTCAGAAGACAATGATGATATGGATTCAAGTACACACTTAGTTGGATAAACTTGAAAGGAAGAATCTGAATATGTTACATTTGCCAGTTGATGACAATCTATCTTTGTATGCGACAAAAGATGGCTCAAAAATCTGTTTGTTTTACAATTAGAATGACTTTTAATTTTATTATCATTCACTGTGCAGTTCTGCAATTTTGATTGCTCTAATTTTGTTGAATCATGGTAATGATTACAGTGTTCAATGCTGAATGATGCATTATTGAATTGTTTTATTAATGGCGAATCTATGAAAGATTTCTCACCACATTCGGAACAATTAATTATAGTCCTCAAATATTTTGATCCTTTACTGACAATTTTCTCCGAAAATATATCTATACTAAAATTTACTAAGTTTTTTAACTTATTATCAATATCCTTTTCTAAATGTTTTATTACTGTTTGTAACTGTTCCATAAATAATTTGATCAATTCAAAATGCCTTGAACAAATTTGTTTATCATTTAATAGAAAACCCATTAGATTACAAGTACGTATAATTTTCATTAATCCAAACTTTGTATTTTCAGAATAATTGGAACAGAACTTAATGTCCCGTAATGAGTCTTGTTCACAGTTCATGATACTTGTTGGATAACTTGAATTTATTGTTTTTGAATTTTTGGAATTACTAATATTATCAGTATGATTATTGTTACGCATATTACAACCATAAATACTTCCATTATTACTTTTAGAAATAAGTCTTGATAGTAAATGAATTGAATTCGACCTACATTGTCTTGGATTGAAAAGCTTTTTATGATGATGTAAAGGATTTCTACAATACTGATATGTTTGTTGTGTTGCTTTCCACCCAGTACAATATAAGTATAATGAATTTATTATAGCCATAATTCTCTTTATTTGTTTTACGACTATTTATCTATTTTTGCGTTTTTCCTAGACTTGAGAAAAAAAAAGCAGACGCATAACTTTTTTAAACTACCATTTATATTTATCCTTGTTTCAGTACATGTCTTAGTGAATTCAGATTGTTTTTCAATAACCTCAAGGAGGTCATAACGCTTGTGATTTGTTCATTCGACTTATCTATGATTTGATTGGTTGTTTGAAAGCCCAACAATAAATACTTAGTTTAAAATAACCAATTAAAAAAATACACGTGATGGCACAAGCTAATCTGAGCTATAATTTTTATGCAGACGTGATTTCGGCAACTATAAACTACATTCATTACATGAAATAACAAGCGTATACAAGATTGTAGCTAACTAGAAGTGGTTGGAGTAAATTAGTTTCCTTAACTAACGAGCAGCGACCCATGATATAGAAGTTGGTTAATAGTTGAAACATGAAACCTAAGAGGAGACATGGATTGTCTGTGGGAGCGAGTTGATTAAGTAGTTGTCACCTTAGTTTTTATAGCTTTGATTGCTTGACTCTCATCTCTTTAACATTGAAGTCAAATTTTTTTGTCAAATATCTTTTTAGCGTTTTGAATTTCTTATTTGACAAATCCATATGTTGATTATGCTTGGGTTCGTACTGATGATTGTGAACCACCTCAACAGTTTCTGACAATGATGGCAATTTCGAAGCTTATGATTATGTTTGAACAATATAATTTTCGCAAGATTAAAAATTCTGCTGAGCACTGTTTAACTACAACTTAGCTCGAATTTATTAGTATAGTAGTAAACAATGCTATTCTCATTGACATGGATGACAGAATGATAATTTAAAATGATGAATGAAGTTAAAATTAGTCCATTGAAGTTAATGAATTTTCTCAAACCCAGTGATGAGGTGGTTTCGATCATAAAAAGATGTCTGGATTTACATCATAACCATGGAGCACTTTGTTATGGAAATATCATGTTGAATGAATCTTTCATGAAAGGCTTAGGTGATATTTAAATGCTAGGAAATGCATAAGGTGTGCATCTGTGAGTCAAAAAGTTACTTACACAGTTAAAAAGTTACATTTTACTAATTAGAAATGCTCTTACTTGAAAATTTCAATTTGTGAAAGCTAATGATAGTTATTTATGTTTAGTGAAAGAATTAGGAATTAGACTTATCACCCTTTACTTAACATGGTCTTGGAACCAATTTGCTGGTAGAAGAAAATGAGATTCAGGTTTTATGCGTATGGCCTTTCTTATGTGTACGCATTCCCTAAATCTTAAGCTGAAAAAAATGATATCTGTCTAGCGTAATATCACATGCATCATACAAAAATGTGAATATTTTATTTCAGCATCATAGTTTCACTACATTAACATCTGTTTAGACATAGTATGTTTTCCCAAGTATGGTGCACTTTAGACGCTTTCTGTCTCGGCATTGCTTATATGATTTTAAGTTTTACGTTGCAATTAGTGAATGCATGTCATAAATTTACGTGTGCGACATTATACTCTATTATGCCTTTCTAAAGTTTTTTACCCTTTAAATAAACTGACGCGTTCTGTGACGTGGTTGAAAAGAAGAATATGAAAGTTGTAAATTACCATTATCTGAATAAACAAATGTTTTCAGGAATAGTTTCATAGCTCTAAATTCATTGCTTTGTATCAAATTCGGTATCATGGAAGGACATCATCGTATTTAACCATCTACACTCTTAGTAGCAAAGCAACCTAAATTTGCTTAAGTATTATTTAATATTGCATACCTATACGTATTAGAAAAACTACTTGCCTGAACTTTTACACAATTCGCAATTTGGCCTTGTATGCGCAATTATATTAACCTGATACCCGTTTTCTCAGGTGAAATAAGAACGAAGTCTGACACAAATGAGTGCTGAGATATATTAATGATAAATCATAACGTGAATAAATAAAGATCGATAGTACAGTATTAACTGTTAATGATGTAAGTTGCATAAAAAGTGAAATAACTGGTATCGAGAAAGCGAACAGAAGACTTCTTACAAGTTATAAGTATTGGAATGGATTGTTCATACAGTGGGACAAACTATATTGGTTACCAATCGATTAACAAAATAAATTACAATTGGTTATGCAAAGAATAAGCTGATCATACAATGAAACAGTTATAATAAGCTGAAACGGATTATAAGAAGCGATCCACTTGTAGACTATACTTAGAATGACAGATAAGGTATGATAGTAAACATTTACACAGACACTGGATAACGAGAAAAATTAGCTGATCAGTTTCATTTACTATGGATATGCTGACATTTGGGAATAAGACACTGGGAATTAAAAACTCAATTGCGTAAAAGATTTAAAAAATCCAAATATATCCGGAGAACATGTGTCAGAAAATTGGAAACCTCATGATGATGTAATAAGTTCACATAAGTTTTTCTCATACATAGTTTACAGAGCAACGGTAAATTTAATGTCTCTTCCAGGGTGATCAAAAGTTTGGTCAGTATCGTTGGTTCTCAAACAAGACATACATCCAAAGTATAAAACCCAGACGGATGGAAAATAACCATATATATACTTGTTGAATGATTAGGACAAGTAGATTCACATGTTGATAGTTTCTGTTTCGCTGATAACGATGAGCTTTCAATTTGAGTGTTGAATGCGATTCAGAAATCTTCACACTACCATTCTCAGATCATTCAGAAATCTGTTAAGTCTGAAGAATTTTCATTAAACGATAATTTACCTCATAAGATAATAATTAAACATAATATACTACCAACAGCTTCAGTTTGTGTTCAATTCACTTACTACTATTCCTATAATTTCTTCTTGCGACCAGCAGGAGAACTTATTCATGTATTCTCATCAACAATGGAAAAGCCTTATAAGTGCATTGTATTATGTGAAAATGCAAAAGAATTTCACAAAGCACACCTATTATTGAGATCAGTAGATTTTGTTTGGAAGTAATATATAGAAATTCCGGAAAATATACAAAAACATGACGGTAAGCAACAACTACAACTTAGCACCTACTTTGACAAACTTCATTTCTACTTTACGTTGTCATTTTGGTTAAGCACCTTTCTATATAGAAGAAGCATAACATCCAACACGAACTTTTCTTCTAATTTCTGCCTTTTAGCACTAATCGCTGCACACATTCCATTTACTTTAGTGAAATTGTCTGGGGACGGCTCCATGTTAATTCCAAAATTTAACTAACCATATTCTTTGGGAAGCCTTAATGCTGAGTAACCTGTCAGTCTTCCTAGTAAAGGTATTAAATCTTTTGAAGCTCTGTATCTTCACAGTCCACATTGAATTCAATAGCCTTTTTATGAATTATCTGGTTTTCCCACAAATCAGTCCTTTAGATGCATTTGAACAAACTATAATTCTTACGTAATCGCAGTTTTAGCCGTTGTGTAAACTTTCGAAACTATAGTTCGTATTGTTGGTTATTTATGGAATGATATTTTAAAATTATGAGCATATCATTTTAATAACCTACTTTGATAATTGTCAATTAATCCATGTATTTCATTCTCCAAGGATTTACAGTGGAAGATTACAAACTATATATATACAGAGAGAGAGGGAGAGAGAGAGAAATACAGGAACATAGTTAATCGGTCTGTTGTTACTGGGTCAGAACACAACATTGTCCCTATAAGGATCATTTTTGGAAGTTGAAAACTCAAACTGAAATGAAATGAGCGGTGCAAGCTTTCTGGAACTTCGAGTTATTAGCGTGAACTACCTATTGAGTTGTTTCCATCTACTTTGGAGGTGCGTTCTCATATACGGATGACTTATTTGTAAAGCTTTAATAGGTTTTCTACATATTATTAGCGTATACTTCGAACTTTGTCCTGATGGTTTTGCTTGAGAAATAAATACTCCATACCACGCCATATTGCTAAATAGCATTTCGCGATAAACAGCTGTCTAATGCAAGCTTTCTCACTCACTCCTGTTACCACTCGATGAGCATAGGCCGCCGACCAGGGCCCTCCAACCAAATCTGGCCTGGGCTATCCTTCCTAATAGTTTTCAAGTCCGAATATATTATTAACATAACTGAATCTAAGGGTATATAAATTTAATAGTTTACATGGGAAAACTTAGTGTTTCATACAATTTATAATAATACATATTTAAGTCTGTTACGACAACGGATCTTTGCACTATTAGGTCTTGCACCAGAATATTGATTTAACTCAGTCACATGCTTCATCTAGCTAAAGGACATATCAGTGGTTACTGTTGATTCATAATGATTTATGATTTTTTTGGTGTGTGGAACACTTATTCACAAATCTGGTTTAGTTTGAATCAACTTATTTTTCATGTTTTCTCGTGTGACGATAACTATTCCGTTTCAGTATCAAAAAAAGTGTGATATCTAGCATTTTCAAGCACTTATTCATTCATTTAATGAGTGAATACTTCACTTAAGAGCGTAATTTTTACTAGAAACTTTATTTTAATGACACCATGAATCTCACAGTTAGTGATGATTGCACCATTCATATGTAGACGGGTATTTTTGTCAACCAACTTTCTTTTTATTCATGTTCACTAACAGGTCGTAAGTGCTGAGAAAGTCTGCTCTGAGAATGGGTTGTTTTGCTTGCGCAACTGTAAAAATCCAGGTGAATCGTCATCGGATGCCGAGGTCTAAAACTGAAGATTGCTCTCCATAGGTCTCGATGATTGTTTCGCTGGCCGATCGAAGTGACAACTTGGTGCTAGCAGTGTGCCGTCGTCATAAAAGTCTAAGCGGGATAATGCTTATTTCGGCTCCTGTATCGACTAAAAAGTCTGAGTCAGAAATACGGTCCCTGATATGGGAAAGACGGCTTGTGGTGTAGCCAGAAACAGGCGCCCCTAGTACTGTCTGGGTGGCTCGTTTCCCAGATTGTCATTGGTGGTGGTTGTGAATGTGCACGGCCATGTGCGACATCGTGCCTTTGC